GCCTGCCTGCCTCCCTTCCCTCCCCCTCCCCTGCTCCTCCCTCTCCTCTGCCTCTAGCCCTCTCCCTCTACTGTACCCTCGCTGTCCCCTCCACTCTCCTTCCATGCCCACGCTCTGACTCCCTCCTTCTACCCTTCTCTCCCCTCTCAATCCCCCTCTTCCCACTTTGCCTCAGGCTCCCCGTCCTTTGAGGCATGCACCTGGGTGCCCCTTGTCCTCACCTCCCCACCCCCCTTGCTCACCCCCAACCCCCATTTCTTACGTGATCTCCTTCTCCTCCAGAATGACCATGTTCTCTGACAGCAGCTCGCAGGCGAAGCCGATGTTCACAGCCGTCTCTGCAAACCAGACCCGCTTAGCACGTCTAGGGGCCCTGCGCTGGCGGCGGGGGCCACGCCCACTCTGCCCGGTGAACCCGACCCTGACCAATGGCAGCCGAATGCCCCATCCCCTGGCCATAGTGATTGGTTCAGAGAAGGGTTTGTAACCAAGGCTGGCCAATGAGAGCCAGCCCTGAGACTCCAGCTGCAGTTCTGGCTGGTCCTGGACTGCCCAGGGATGTGTCTGAGGCCAGGATCATCAGGCACATGGCCTAGGACCCACGGTGCCTTCAGGAACGCATCATGTCTTAATTTATTTTATTTATTTATTTTTTTTTGAGACGGAGTTTCACTCTCGTTGCCCAGGCTGGAGTACAATGCTGCAATCTCCGCCTCCCAGGTTCAAGCGATTCTCCTGCCTCAGCCTCCCGAGTAGCTGGGATCACAGGCATGTGCCAACACGCCTCGCTAATTATCTTATTTTTAGTAGAGACAGGGTTTCTCTATGCGGGCCAAGCTGGTCTCAAACTATGACCTCAGGTGGTCCACCCGCCTTAGCTCCCAAAGTGGTGGGATTATAGGTATGAGCCACTGTGCCCGGCCTTAGTATCTTTTTAAATCAGAAGGAAAAAACTTACTGTTTTTGCCTGGGCTGGCTCCTGCCCAAGAGAGGCCACCCTGAGAATCACTTTTTTGGGTTTTTTTTTTGTTTGTTTTGTTTTGTTTTGTTTTTGAGACGGAGTTTCACTCTTGCTACCCAGGCTGGAGTGCAATGGCGCGATCTCGGCTCACCGCAACCTCCGCCTCCTGGGTTAAGGCAATTCTCCTGCCTCAGCCTCCTGAGTAGCTGGGATTACAGGCACGTGCCACCATGCCCAGCTAATGTTTTGTAGTTTTAGTAGAGACGGGGTTTCACCATGTTGACCAGGATGGTCTCGATCTCTTGACCTCGTGATCCACCCGCCTCAGCCTCCCAAAGTGCTGGGATTACAGGCGTGAGCCACCGCGCCCGGCCGGTTTTTTTTTTTTTTGGAGACAAGGGCTCATTCTCTTGCCCAGGCTGGAGGGCAGTGGCACAATCACAGCCCACTCAGTCTCCACCTCCTGGGCACAAGCCAGCCTCCCACCTTAGCCTCTGGAGTAGCTGAGACCACAGGCAAGTGCCACTGTGCCCTCTGAGACTTGCAGCCTTTTTTTTTTTTGAGATGGAGTCTCACTCTGTCACCCAGGCTGGAGTGCAGTGGCACAATCTTGGCTCACTGCAACCTCCGCCTCCTAGTTCAAGCAATTCTCTGCCTCAGCCTCCCAAGTAGCTGGGATTACAAGCACCCACCACCGCACCCGGCCCATTTTTGTATTTTTAGTAGAGATGGTGTTTCGCCATGTTGGCCAGGCTGGTTTCGAACTCCTGACCTCAGGTGATCCCCCACAGTGCTGGGATGACAAGCGTGAGCCACTGCGCCCCGCCTGGGACTTGGCGGATGGTTGAAGATCCACGCCGTGGGGTTCAGCCACCCGGAGCCACCAGGACTCACCCTGCTTGTCCCCGGTGAGCACCCATATTTTGATGTTGCTCTTCTTGAGACACTTGATGGTGTCAGGGACGCCGTCCTGGAGTCTGTCCTCGATGGCTGTGGCTCCCAGCAGCTGGTCGGGGGCAGGCAGGACGGGAAGACACTGAGCAGCCGCCCAGCTTCCTGGCAGGGGCAGGAGAGTCCCAGGGCCCCCTTGGGTGCCCCACCACCCTCCCACCCACCTTGAGGTTCTGCTCCATTTCACTGTACACCTGCTGCAGGACCTGTGCCCGGTTCTGCAGCAGGAGGCTGGCCTTCTGGTGGCGTGGCTGCCACTCCTCGTAAATGTCCTCAGCCACCTCCCTGTAGGCCAGGCACAGCGTCCGCAGGGTCTCCTGGGCAAAGGCCTAGGGGCCAGGCGGGTGGAAGCTGTCATTATTCTGAACTTGACATCCAAGGTTCAGCCCTCCCCAGACCCCTGCTGGGCTCTGGAGCCTGGGCCCCACCACCAAGAGTCTGTCGCCTCCCCTACCCACAGCAGCCAGAAGGGGCTCAGAAAACTTGTGTAACGCCAGGCGCGGTGGCTCACGCCTGTGATCCCAGCACCTTGGGAAGCCGAGGCCGGAGGATCACGAGGTCAAGAGATGGACACCATCCTGGATAACACAGTTAAACCCTGTCTCTACTAAAAATACAAAAAATTAGCCAGGGGTGGTGGCACGTGCCTGTCATCCCAGCTATTGAAAGGCTGAGGCAGGAGAATTGCTTGAGCTCAGGAGGTGGAGGTTGCAGTGAGCCGAGATCACGACACTGCACTCCAGCCTGGATGACAGAGTGAGACTCCGTCTCAAAAAGAAAAAAGAAGAAAAGAAAAAAGAAAGTGGGGAAGGGGCCAGGCGCGGGGGCTCACGCCTGTCATCCCAGCACTTCGGAAGGCTGAGATGGGTGGGTCACCTGAGATCAGGAGTTCGAGAACAGCCTGGCCAACACAGTGAAACCCTGTCTCTACTAGAAACAGAAAAAACTAGCTGGGTGTGGTGGCATGTGCCTGTAGTCCCAGCTAGCTGGGAGGCTGAGGCAGGAGAATCACTTGAACCCAAGAGGTGGAGGTTGCAGCAAGCCAAGATCATGCCACTGCACTTCAGCCTGGGTGACAGAGCAAGACTGTCTCAAAAACAAAAAAAACAAAAGACATCCTGTCTTGGGGCAGTACACTTTGGAGTTCAGCTGCCTACCGCCTGTGTGTGTGTTGTGTTGGGGTGGGGGTTTTGTGCCGTGCACAACCTACACAACTGTACATAGCCATCCCAGGTACCTGCAACCATGCAGTTCTCTGCAGTCTCCTCCCTTGCCTCCTGTCCCTACACCACACACACTCACACACACACACACACACACACACACACACACTCACACACACCCCACACACACCCTCACACTCACACACACACTCACACACACACACACCAGCCTTCCTCCCTGCAGGGACTCACAGCCAAGGCCTCCTCTGTGGCGAATTCCGTGGCCCCTCTCCGGTGCAAGCGTTCGAAGATGACCGTGTCTGCGCCCTTGGTGTAGAGGCCGATGGTGCCCTCTGGCTTGCGGACTGTGGGGGAACAGGCGCTGCTGCCCAGAGGCGCCCCTGCTGCCCACCCCCTCGGGCCCGGGGCTCCGCGGCGGGGCTCACCCAGCACCGACATCCGTTTCCGCACGCTGTTGAAGTCCATAATGGCCAGGACCTGGTAGACCCGCTCCTCCCCCAGCTCCATGACGGTGATGGTGTCCTGGGTGCGGGACAGGAAGACGTAGCCAAAGTTCCGCGCCGCGGTGACCAGCGCCTCCTCGTCGGGGGAGGCAGCCTGGTAGGACAGCTGGCCTGTGGGGAGGGGGGCTGTTTTGGGGTCACGTGGCAGAGTCCCACCGTCATCTCCACAGTGCAGGGAGGAGCGCGCGAGGGCTGCCGCTGTGCCGATGACGGCCTCCCGGCCCGGCCCGCACAACCTCTAAGCCCCACACATGGGGGGAGCGCCTCCCTGCTCAACAGCAGATTCCGTGAGCTGCACCTGCAGGCCTGGACGTCCCTTGGCCCCAACGATGGCGCGTCCGCCCTCCCGCCCCACACCTGGCAATGCTGCCTGGAATCCAGGCCTGGACGCCGTCGAGGCGGTGCTGGGGTCACCGGCCTGAGTGCCCCCTAAGCCCGATGAATGGCGCCCTGGAAAATGGGCTGGGTGGGCAGTGAGCTGGGGACGCGGGTGCGGTGCCCGGGGCCTGCGCCCCCGCCGGGTGGGGAGCTGGGGAGGCGGGCGGGGCGGCGGGCGCTCACCGCGGCTGTCCCGCACCATCACCGTGTGGCAGATGGCCAGCAGGCGCCAGAACTCCCGCACCGCCTCGTCCCGGTTGTTCCGCACCAGCCGCAGCAGGGCCGCGTTGTGGAAGAGCAGCTTCCCGTCCGCGAACTCATTCCAGAGGTAGGGGTTCTCCTGGGGCGGGGACGGCTGGCTGTGGGCGCGCCTCTCCCCTGCCCCACGCGCTCACCGTCCCTCGCTGCAGGGTGGGCAGGCTCACCTTAGGTCTCCTGGCCTCCGAATCCGGCCCTGGGGAAAGACTCAGCTTCAGGTCCCAGCTCCGCCAGACCCCCCACGTGGGGTCCCACAGCCCCGACCCCCAATCTCAGGCTTCCAGGGGCCGCCAGATGCAGCCACACAAGCCAGGCCTGCGGCTCCGGAACCCACACCCCAAGCAATCTTGGGGTGAAAGCTGACCTCCGTTTTTACCGTCTGCACAAAGTGGGGAACACGGGAGCACCCCGTCCTGTCTCCCAGGGACCCCAGAAGGACAGCCAGAGTTGGGTGCACCCCTGGCCAGAAAACATGTTTTTTGTGCTCCTTCTGGGGTGAGGTATTTTTTTTTTTTTTTGAGGTGGAATCTCGCTTTGCCGCCCAGGCTGGAGTGCAGTGTCACAAGCTCAGCTCACTGCAACCTCCCCCTCCCGGGGTCAAGTGATTCTACCGCCTCAGCCTCCTGAGTAGCTGGGATTACAGGCATGTGCCACCACACCTGGCTCATTTTTGTATTTTTAGTAGAGACAGGGTTTCTCCATATTGGTCAGGCTACTCTCCAACTCCCGACCTCAGGTGATCCGCCCACCTCAGCCTCCCAAAATGCTGGGATTACAGGTGTGAGCCACCATGCCCAGCCTTTTTTTTTGTTTTGTTTTTTAAGACAGAGTATCACTCTGTCACCCAGGCTGGAGTATAATAGCGCAATCTCAGCTTACCGCAACCTCTGCCTCCCAGGTTCAGGCAATTCTCCTTCCTCAGCCTCGTGACTAGCTGGGGTTACAGGCGTGTGCCACTGTGCCTGGCTACTTTTTTGTATTTTTGGTAGAAACGGGGTTTCACCATGTTGGCCAGGCTGGTCTCGAACTCCTGACCACAGCTGATCCACCCATCTCGGCCTCCCAAAGTACTGGGATTACAGGCGTGAGCCACCTGATGGGCACTCCCTTTTCTGTTTTTTCTGAGACAGAGTCTCAGTCTGTCACCCAGGCTGGAGTGCAGCGGTGCAATCTCAGCTCACTGCAACCTCCACCTCCCAGGTTTAAGCAATTGTCCTGCTTCAGCCTCCCAAGTAGCTGGGACTACAGGTGCACACCATCACGCCCGGCTAATTTTTGTATTTTTAGTAGAAACAGGGTTTCACCATGTTAGCCAGGCTGGTCTCGAGCTCCTGACCTCAAGTGATCTGCCCGCCTCAGCCTCGGGCCCATTTTTCTATGGCTGAACCTGAACCGTTTCTTGGGGACTGGTCACTGCATTAAATTATGACCCAGTCAGGTGTTCTGAGATCCTGGTCTAAACCACGTGCCCTGGTTATAAATTAGACCCAGGACTGGCAAACTATACTCCACCCCATCAGCAATTTTTATATGGCCTGCAAGCTAAGAATTATTTTTACATTTTTAAATGGTTAGGGGAAAAAATGACAAGAATACTATTTTGTGACCTGGGAAATACTAAGAAATTCGAATCTCAGCATCCACAAATAAAGGCTTGTGAAAGTCAAAAGGAGTGGTGGCCAGGTGTGGGGGCAGACCTCTGTAATTCCAGAGGCAGATGGATTGCTTATGCCCAGGAGGTCAAGACCAGCCTGGGCAACATAGGGAGACCCCCCCCTCTTTATACAAAATACAAAAACAAGCCGGGTGTGGTGGGGCGCTCCTGTAGTCCCAGCTACTTGGGAGGCTGAAGCGGGAGGATGGCCTGAGCCCAGGAATTCAAGGCTGCATAAGGTATCCTCGCGCCACTGCACTCAGCCTAGGTGACAGAGCAAGACCCCCATCTCAAAAAAAAAAAAAAAAAAAAAAAACTTTTTAAAAGTTTTGCCGGGGGCAGAGGCTCACACCTGTAATCCCAACATTTTTAACATTTTGAAGGCTGAGGCGGGCGGATCACCTGAGGTCAGGAGTTCGAGACCACCCTGGGTAACATGGTGAAAACCCATCTCTACTTGAAAAAAACAAAACAAAAATCAGCCAGGCGGGTGGTGTAGGACTGCAATCTCAGCTACTCGGGAAGCTGAGGCAGGAGACTCACTTGATCCCAGGAGGCGGAGGTTGCAGTGAGCTGAGATCACACCACTGCACTCTAGCCTGGGTGACAGGGTGAGACTCCCTCTAAAAAAAAAAAAAAGTTTCCTGGCCGCTCCAAAAGCAACCAGGCCATGTAGCTATGGTTCCATGGTGGGGATGTGGGTGGGGGTGCCGGGCATGGGGCCAGCCGCAGCTCTGGTCCTTGGTCCCCGAGCCCCTCGGGAGAGGGAGGACCCGGCCCCGCGTACCGTAGACGCGGCCGTTGATGCAGCACTTGTTGAAGGTCAGGATGTTCTGCGTGAGCGTCCCCGTCTTGTCCGAGAAGATGTACCCCACCTGGCCCAGGTGGTCGTTGAGGCTGGTGCTTCGGGCCTTGGCCGGCACGTCCTGCGCCTCGTAGTACATGTTCACGTCCCAGTTGATGAAGACGCTGTTCCCCAGGTAGATGAACTCGGATCTGCCGAGGCGCACGGGGTCTCGGTCAGCCCCGACGGCTCCGCGGTCCGCATCTGAACCCGGGGCGCGGCCGGCCGGCGGGGACTCACATGATGAACATGGCCATGGGGATGGTGACGCTGAGCAGGATGAGGAAGCCCCAGAACATGAGGAAGGTGTCTGTGGCCACGCTGTCCCGGTGCAGGGCCGAGACGTAGTAGTGCTTGTCTTTGAATTCTCCGGCCAGGAAACCGGAGCTGAAGGCCAATACCAGGGAGACGAGCACCACGGAGATGAAGATCTGGGAGGGGGCGAGACGGGAAGGGTGAGGGGGGAGACGGGGCGGGGGAGGGGCGAGACGGGCGGGGGAGGGGGAGACGGGGCGGGGGAGGGGCGAGACGGGCGGGGGAGGGGGAGACGGGGCGGGGGAGGGGCGAGACGGGCGGGGGAGGGGGAGACGGGGCGGGGGAGGGGCGAGACGGGCGGGGGAGGGGGAGACGGGGCGGGGGAGGGGCGAGACGGGGCGGGGAGGGTGGGGGCCTCCACTCTGCCATCAGGACTGGGTGAATGCAAAGATAAGGCTAGGGTTGGGCACGGTGGCTCATGCCTGTAATCTCAGCACTTCGGGAGGCTGAGGCAGGCAGATCACTTGAGGTCAGGAGTTCAAGACCAGCCTGGGCAACAAAGAGAGACCTCATCTCAACAAAAAAATTCACAAATAGGTTAGGCAGGCATGATGGCGCACACCTGTAGTCTCAGCTGCTCAGGAGGCTGAGGCCAGAGGATCCCCTGAGCCCAGGAGGCCGCAGTGAGCTGCAATGATGGCACTGCACTCCATCCTGGGCAATACAGTGGATTGAAAAACATTTATTTATTTTTTATTTGTATTTGCTTTTTGAGACAGTCTTGCTCTGTCGCCCAGACTGGAATGCAATGTCGCAATCTCAGTTCCCTGCAGCCTCCCCCTCCTGGATTCAAGCAATTCTCTTGCCTCAGCCTCCCAAGTAGCTTGGATTACAGGCATCAGCCACCACACCTGGCTAATTTTCATATTTTTAGTAAAGATGGGGTTTCACCATGTTGCCCAGGCTGGTCTTGAACTCCTGACCTCAGGTGATCCTCCCACCTCAGCCTCCCAGTGTGCTGGAATTATAGGCATGAGCCATCTCGCCCAGGCTAAAAAAAAATTTTATAAAACTTTTATAAAAAATTATTATTATTATTATTATTATTATTATTTTGAGACACATCTCACTCTTGTCACCCAGGCTAAAATGTAGTGGGGCAATCCCGGCTCACTGCAA